GTCAAGTCGCTGCAGGTTGCTTGTCAGAACCTCGGAGGCAGTTACTGATGGCCCCTTCGTCTTAGTTTTCCTTTCTCCTGCTTACCTTGTTCTCCATCTCCCTTTCTTCATATTCCTTTGTTCTTTAATGGGGCCAAGAACTCCCAAAGCATTGTTTACAATGGAACATAAAGAATTTGCTAATTCCTATTGCAAAGGCTCTTATTTTAATTGCAACTTTCTTGAGTGTAATTCTAGGCCATGTTTAGTTTGAGCTATGCTTTTATGTTTTAAATGCCAAAGCACTCACTTTGATCTGTGTGTCACTACACACAATTCATTTTTAAAAATCAGTTTGCTGCTGATCTTCATTTGCATGTGTCAGGGGCTTTCCTAGTATCAGTTTTCTAGCTTGGGTGGGTGGGTGTGGTTTTGTATTTTAGAAATCAAGTGTAGACAAAAATTGTTTTTCCTGGATTTGGGACAAATGAGAATTGATTTATGAGTAGTATTTGATTTATCACATTCATAACTAGAAAAATCCCATAATTAACAAATGCCTGGGCTGGCCCAGTATATGATGGAGATAGGGTTAGCCTTTGTTGACACAATTGTTCAGTGTAGACTTTGAGACTAGCCCTGCATTTCACCCTAGTTAACTGTCATTGAGTGTTTCTGAGCAGTGAGCATATGTGGACGTTTATATAAAACCAGGCTGCTTCTACCAAGACCTAATTTGTTTAGCTAGAAAAATCTGATTGTGCATTATTAAAATGTCTTATTGGCTGTGATCTAAGGACAGAGTGCCATCACCCAAAGTTTCTAGGCTGTGTTTTATCTTAGCCCCTTCATCCACTTTCCCTTGCCCATATGTGCCTACCGGCTCCCTTGTTAGAGCACCCTCATTTCTGTCCTTGCTTCTTGAAGTCATCTTTGTTTCTTCCTGTACCTTTGATTTCTCTACTTGTCTCCTAAGTCTCCTCCTGTGTATCCTTTTTCTCTCTGCACCGAATGTCTATCGCCACCGTATTTCTTAGCATCATGTTTAGATCAGTGGTTCTCAACCTTCCTAATACCCCGACTCTTTAACACAGTTCCTCATGTTGTGGTGACCCCCCAACCATAAAATTATTTTCATTGCTACTTCATAACTGTAATTTTGCTACTGTTATAAATCATAATGTAAATATCTGATATGCAGGATGTATTTTCTTTGTTACAATTTGAATATAATTAAAGCACAGTGATTAATCACAAAAACAATATGTAATTATATAGTGAAATATTTATTTATAATTACAAAGAAATAAAATTTTGCCTTGAAGCATGGTATAGCATGGATAACAGTCTTCACGCTGGGTACTCATGTGGACGTATCCGCATGTGGGCGGGCCTGCCTGGAGACGGAGAGAGGAGCGGTGTCTCAGTTCCTAAGACCATCAGAAATCTGTTTTCCGATGGTCTTAGGCGACCCCTGTGAAAGGGCCAGCCGACCCCCAAAGGGGTCGTGACCCACAGGTTTGAGAACCTCTGGTTTAGATGGAAGCAACATCTTAGTTAATTTATTGTGGTTGGTATTAAGTAATATTAAATGCTACTTTGAATGACTTACTGTGTGTACTAGAGTAGAGTATAAGCCAACCCGAATATTAGCCGAGGCACCTAATTTTACCACAAAAACTACATTAAAAATGTGCTGGAAAACTCGGCTTGTACACGAGTATACGCGGTATATAAATCAGATACCTAGCAGCAGATCGGGCACATATGTCTGAGCTCAGGTGGCCTGAACAATGTGCTCTGTGCTGCGTTGCCTTCTTGGTTGGTGACTGTATCTCATGGGCATGTTCATAATGAGCTGTTTCTTTATGTGAAAAGCGTAATAGACTCCCTCCCTTTTTTGTAGCCCAGAGATACTGAGCCGCTCGCAGACTCAGACCCTGGAGAGCCTGGAATTCATTCCACACCATGTTGGTGCCTTCTCTGTGGAGAAATATGAGGGCATCAAGAAATACTTGATAAAGGTAAAATGCAAGTGAAAGTTGCATCAGCCTCGGAGAGTAGTAGCACAGCACCCGAAAAATTACATTCAGTTCCTGCACAGCTTCATGTTAGCCTGGGAGCTCGGCCGTTGTGGTGGTTAAGCACCTGGTTGCTACTCAAAAAGTCAGGGACTGGAGCCCCCAGCTGCACCATGGGAAAAAGAGGTGGCAGGCTGCGACCTTGTGTGTCCAGTTACAACCACCCAAGTCTTTTTTCCCTTTCTGAGTGTTTCTTGTCGCTTTTCTAACCACTGCGAGCCCATTGCTACATGAAGATGATAGAGCTTTTGAGATTGGTTAGCAGTCACGAGGCTTCCTGAGTGCTCCGATCCGAGTGTAAGGTGGCCCTCTGTTGGGACTGTGGTAATCTTAGTAACTGCAGCCTACAGAGCGGCAGCAGACTGCCCTGGCCCCCAGGGCTCTCCTACTACTGCTTTGTAAGATCCCTACATTTTTAGTGTGATGTTTTTTAAAATGAGGCTGCAGAAAAGGATCTTGTGATGGACCATGGGAACTGAAAAGCAATTGTTTGAGAGCATTGTCAATAACCTATAGTCTCACTTGTTCATGTGCCTTTTGTGTAGTTTACAGAATAGTAGACCCTTTCTTCCAATGGTATCCTTGCTTTCAAAGCTACTTTCCCAATAGGATAGAAGGATTCTTTGATGAAGCTTAGGAGGTCTGCTCTATATACCTTGGGTAGAATTAGTACTTTAAGGGCAAAAGGAAAGTATTTGAATATGCCCAGGTCAGAAATTGGCTGCTGGCAGCCTTTCACATATCTGAGGACGCTTCAGAACGTGTTTATGCTTCAGGGTGGATGGGTTGGCTGGTTGTTTCTGCGACGGTGTTCACTGACTGGTTTCATTGATTCTCTTCCCGCTCAGGCTTGTGACACTCCCCTGCACCCCCTGGGCGGGTTGGTGGAGACCCTGGTGGCCGTGTACAGAATGACGTACGTGGGTGTGGGAGCCAACCGCCGCTTGCTGCAGGAGGCTGTGAAGGAGATCAAGTCCTATCTGAAGCGAATTTTCCAGCTGGTGAGGTGAGAGCTAGCTTTTATGAATGTTTGGAGGTCTATCTTCACCCTGTGTCTGAGTTTACAGCTTTGGGAGGAAATCTGAATTGTACCTTTTCATAGAAATTAATTATCAAAGAAGTGGTTTCACGCCCCGGGGCCTTCAATAAATGAATACAAATGCGTTGTTTGCTTTGTTTATTCTGTAATCATAAAGAGGGTTACTCTAAGCCCTTGTTGCTTTCTTCACTTCTGTCCTCTTCATTCCTTTAACATCCCAGAAGCTGGAATTCTCATTTTGGTACGCGACCTAGTACTTTCCATTACTTGGATTTAATCTCTAGAGAAAGATAATGCCTCTAATCTCTAATACAAAGTAGATAAAGTTGAATATAAAATTTGTCCGTGAATATTTATGTCCTGCCCCTTGACAGCATCACTCATTCATTGAGTTAAAAACCACGTGAGTGCCTCCAAGGAGATAATCACTGTTGGAGGTGGCGGAGGGTAGATCAGTGGGCAAAGCAAAAACAAACAACACAGCCATCGCTGCCCGCTCGGAGCTTACATTCCAGTGGCGAGAGACAGTAGCAATATTATTAACCCCAAACCAATGAATGTGCTTGGAAATGTCCCAAGGTTTGAAGTGCAGCACCATGTGCTACAAGATCACTGGACTGGGGGTATTTCAGCTTTGACATTCACTAATAATAAAAATAAATTTCTTGACTCTTTAGAAAAAAAATTATTATTTTTTATTTCAGTTTTCCCAGCTATAAGATTAGGAACAGAGTCAGGGCTAGGGTATAAGTATATAGAGACCGAGAACATTTTCCTACCCTTAAAGTCCTGATTTAAGTTTGAAAATTGCATTGACGGTATAGAAAATATATTGACAGTAAGTTTGTTTGTTGGTAAAGCCAGTGTTGGCATATGAAAAGTCAGATTTAAATTTAGGGCAAAACGCAAAACCTAAGAATTAATTTTCAGCAACTTGACTTTAAAAAGTTATATTTGATATTAATTGGCCTTCTGTAATTTAACCATCCCCACCCCCAATGTTGAACATTTACATTGATATTTGTTTTCTTTCTAGTCTCTCTTTGAAGAGTTAATACACATTGATCTCAGATGAGATCTGTCATGGGAAAAACATGTAGAGCAGTTTCCCAAAGTGGGGGTCCCCGAGGAGCACAGGAACCATCCAGGAGGGGAGCAAAAGGTAGATAGTCTCCTTTATCCTGGATGATGGGCCTCACGACCGAAAGTTTTCATTGCTACAGGGGGCCCTGAAAAGGGGGCGATAAGCCAAATTGGAAGCCTCTAATACAGATCAAAATTCTTGATTCCTTAATAGCTAGACAGAAACAAAAAGCCACAACAAATGAAGATATTTTTCATGGTATTATTCATTAGATACACTCCACTGGTATTTCTCAAAGATACACTTAAGGACATCAAGGAAATAAAATATTTAATTGGTGTAAAATAAGGTTTCGTGGTTCTTAAATAGCAGCGGTACACTTTCACGCTCGTTAGCCACTGAAGAGGCATAATTGTAATGTTTTTGCTGTTCCTCAGGTTCCTATTTCCTGAACTTCCTGACGAGGGCAGCACAATTCCTCTCTCTACTCCCTTGCCAACGGAAAGGAAGGCATCCTTTTGCACTGGGAAGTCAGACTCCAGATCAGAATCCCCGGAGCCAGGGTAAACGGAGCTGGATGGGGGTGATAGCGAAAGCAGGTGGCGACCAGATGGTTTTATCTATGGAGTCGCGGAGAAAAGCTATTTTCTCTAGATCTCAGTGTCCGTATTTCTAAAAGGCGGTAGTTGGAATAAATATGTGAGACTCCCTTTCCACTCCAACTCTATAAACCACACCCCAGCAAAGTGTGGCCACAGATGACGGGGCAGAAAGGCTGCGGAGCACAGTCACGTCCCGCCGATTATGATGACAGAGACTGCCTCGGGGTGGGAGCCAAGTAGGTCTGAAAGGAGAATTCCGCGCTGGCCCACGGCAGCATCCTGGGCCTAGGGAAACTCCTCGCGTATAAGTTCCATCATAAAAGGAGCGCCACAGCTTTCCTCAAAATTCCCCTCTGTACCTGCAACCTGGAGCCGTGGAAGCTCAGGCTGTGTTTCTGTGCTGAGTTCTAACATCGTTACTTCTGTCCCCACTCCGGTATTTTGTAGTTACGTGGTAACGAGTTCTGGATTGCTGCTTCCTGTGCTCCTACCTCGGCTCTACCCACCACTGTTCATGCTCTACGCCTTGGATAACGATCGGGAGGAAGACGTTTATTGGGAGTGTGTTCTGCGGCTCAATAAACAGCCAGATACTGCTCTTCTGGGCTTTCTTGGGGTGCAGAGGTAAATGGAGTTATGAAGCCGAATCGGACGGTTTTCACGTAACACACAAACACCCTTATCGGGAATTCGGTACTTTGATAACCAACCGCATACATGACTTGCAGTTCTGTTTTATTTTTACGTGTCAGTCTTAGTAAACAAAACCTTGATCCTTAACAGTTTGTTCGGAAAAATTGTGGAGATGAGTATACAACCTGCTCATTTGGCAGATGTTTTTAGTCTTTAATATTGCTTTGAAGAATGAATTATCAAGTGGAGTAGCTCATATGTTTACATTTAAACTCAGCCATATGAACTAACCTGCTTGATATCTCATCATTCTTTAAAGTAAACAACATATTTTATATTCACTTTTCCCAGAAGAAAGTTCATTGTATTCTGTCTTTGGCATTTTTTTCGTTTCTTTTTCCTCCTTCCTGTCCCATCCTGTCTGCAATTTCTTATTTAAAAGTTTTGGAAATGCTTATTTATGTGTAGGGCCTAGTTTCTTGTGATTCCCAGCAGAGTAATGAATGACTACGTTTCTTTCTAAATAAAACTGATCTCTACCCAGTAATTATATATACTTTTGATATGCTAATCAAAAGAGAAAATGTTAGAGGACTTAAATTAGAAAATCGTTCCCCCACCCCGCCCCCAGTGGAATCACGTGACAGTAAAACTGAGGAAAGGAGAGTTGTTGGCCAGTCTTTGGAAACACCTGCCATGTATAGGGTTATTCAGTACAGAATGATCAATCTGCTAGTGATACCAGCCAAACTAAACCACACTCACTGCCATGTAGTTGATTCTGATAGGCACGACCCGATAGGTCAGGGTAGGACTGCCCCGGGGTGTTTCTGAGACTGACACTCTTAACAAGATTGGAAAGCCCCATCTCTCTGACCTTGCAGTTACACATAATGCACTTTGCCTTCAAGACCTCTTTTAAAATAAGATAGCCTCTCACAAATCACTTCCAGAGCGTGTGTTAAATTATACTGAATCTATGCCGTGTTAGCGTTTAACAGATCTGGCTGTCACCTGTTCTTATAAAGACGTATCTGTGGGGCATTATTTATAGCGGGCAGTGGGAAGCCATGCCACTGCCCTGATTTTGAGGGCTCTTCCTGCTATAACAACTTGCATTAACCACTTGTGGATTCCGTTGTAGGAAGTTTTGGCCAGTGACGTTGGCAGCCCTTGGAGAGAGTAAAAAGGTATAGTAGATGTTCGTTTTCTTAGCAGATCGGCTTTCCTTGGGTGTGGGGGGTCTGCAGTGTCAAGGCGTCACGTTCTTTTGCTAGAACAGTCCCCAAGCGTGTGCTAGCATCAGTTACCCCCTAAGTCTCGCAGCCCCTCCGAATCGCTGATGTTCTTGCTGTCCCCCTGTGCCTTCACCAGTGTCCTTTTTGCAGGTTCTGCCAACCACGAAAGATGCTTGTTTTGCCTCGGCAGTAGAATGTCTACAGCAGATTAGGTAATCTCTTCTTTGTTGGAAAACAACATACATGAAAATAGTCAATCTACTAAGATAATCCTGAGATCTTAACATTACCTAAACCCCAAGAGCCTCCTTCATCCCTCAGCGGGTGTCAAGCAGACCCACTCGGGGGACCAGAAAGAGTCCGCTGAGACACAGACTTGGATTAGCTCAGGCTTGCAGGCCTTTCCGTTCTCAGAAGTGGTGGACCGCCTTCCCAAATCCTCCTCTGCATAATCGCATCTTTAGCCAAGTGAGAATTAGCCAAGCATCTCATTTAGAGAAAAGCATCAATTAGGGAGCTAAATGAATTCTTAGGGAATTCTTCTATGTGGGCCATAGACAATGGAGCCTTCTCTTCTCAGATCCCCACAGGATTACTAAGGCCAGCCCCCCAGGGAAGCATTGTGCCGGTTGTGTCAGCTTAAGGCGTGTGAGCCCCAGGGGGGAATATTGTCAAAAATAAAATGGCTCCACTATGAAAATCGCCGTATATCTTGTCCTCTGTGACCACAGCACGACATTCACTCCATCTGACAAACTGAAGGTCATCCAGCAGACGTTTGAAGAGATCTCTCAGAGTGTCCTGGCCACACTCCAGGAAGACTTCTTGTGGTCCATGGATGACCTGTTTCCAGTCTTCCTGTATGTGGTGCTACGAGCCAGGTGAATTAGCTTTGTGATTTTAATAGTAGGGACTCCTTTGTTTTTAAATATTTTATCATGTTTAAGGTAAGGATTTACACAACTGATTGGGTTTCCACTTTGTCTGTTCACGTTATTCAGTCATACTGGTTGCATTTTCCACCATGTATCATCAGTCTCATCATTCTGTCCTGATCGCAACATTTCCAATTCTCTAGCTCTCCTGCCCCCATTGGTCTCCTATAGATTTATGTTTATTCTTTGAAGAAGCTCATTACTCACAGGGATACTCTCCCCCCCCCCCCCATCATCAAATCCATGATTTAGATATCAAGTAACTTGAAGGAATAATTTCAGTTTAAAGTTTAAAGTGCATCTTAGGACTGTGATCTCTGGGATTCCTCTAGCCTCCACTGGTCTAGTCTACTGGGAATTTGAGTTTTGTTCCACTTTTTTCTCTCATTCCATACGGATTCTTCTAATGTCGCCCTCCTCAGATGGGTCGGGAGTTGTAGCCAGGCATCAGTCATCTAGGTCTTCTGACCTCTGAATAGAGGAGGCCGTGGACATGTCCTACCACTTGCTTTTTGTGAACCAGTGACAGCCATGTGCTTCCACACTAGGAGAACTCCACTTGTTTAACCCATTCCTCTATGTTAACTTTTTGTAGAGATGTTTCATTTTCCCTCAGAGATATTCAGAGGGAAGGATGGACACATAAGGAGAAATAACTCAGCATGTTTTTCTCTTTGGGACAGGATTAGGAATTTAGGCTCTGAAGTACACCTTATTGAGGATCTAATGGACCCGTATCTTCAGCATGGGGAGCAGGGTATAATGTTCACCACCTTGAAGGTAAGTGGAGGCATTTATTCAGTAATCCTGTTGCCTTGAACTCTGGCCTTCACCTACCATGTCATAAACCCGCTGTTAGCCACTTGTTTGTAGACAAACTTAATGAAAGCAAAATGCTCTTAGAATACGTGGATTTGGGTGGGGCCAGGTGGGGGCAGATAGGCAGGGCACAGAAAAAATGATAGCAGCTGAGTCCCTTTCCTTGGTCCCATGTGCATTGCTACCTTTTAATTATTTCTCTAAAAGTAAAATTGAAAGTGTTTTGAACTTTTTTCTAGGCCTGTTACTACCAGATCCAGCGTGAAAAGCTTAACTAGGCTGCTGTTGAGCCTGAGAACTGGGTTGACTGCCCAAGGGCTACAGCGCCACCTGGCGTTCTGTAGTGGGAAAAGGAGCAGCGCTGACGTGGAGGAGGACACTGTTCTTCTGGTTGTTATTTCTGGGCCTGTTATGAACGGTCAGAGCCCTGGCCCGGGGAAAACAACTGTCCAGTTTAAAGGGAGGCTTGAAAAGAATGTCACAATCAGATTAGACCATGTATTGGCCTATGTTAAGTTTCAACAACATCATCCATCTACTGTTAGAAGAAAAAAAAGAAGATACCTATTTCTAAAGTAAAAGGCACGCCAACTACACAGTCTTAAGAAAAGGTTTCAGTCTAGCTTCTTACATTAAAGAAGTTGATGAGTAGTTCTGAGATTCGGGTTTACCCGAATCCATCGGCGGTTACCCCTCATTTCCCTTTGCAAGAGGCCAATTGGACTGGAAACTACAACAGCCACATTCTGCCTGCTGACATCCCTGCGACCTCATGTGCATCGGGCTCCTTTGCTGAAGGAAAGAAAGCGGACCTTTCAAACTGCAGTTTTAACTTCTCCTGAGCTTTCCCCTCTTCATGACGGGAAAGGCTCTATGCTGTGACAACTCTGCCCTGACCCCCGAACATGGAATGTGTCCACACAGGAGCCCTGCCTCCTGGCTAGAAAGAACGTAGGAGTGTTGCTCTTGGTCTCCTCACTGTGCGAGGAGAGAGCCAAGTACACTGGAGTTCAAACGCTGGCGCTGAGCTACTGTAGAACCTCTCCCGGGTGCAGGCCTGCACGTGGGAGTCAAGAGCCGCATGCAGACTGGGCCGCACCCCCACCCCAACGGGACTGCACCAAGGGCTGTCCAGAAGCTGAGAAGCCCAGCCAGTGCCGTGCTTCTTCCTGTACCTCACCCTGAAGCCACGGGGGAAGGCAAAGTGAAACACGCTTTGGTGTTTCCCATCTCCGAAGTATTGTGACACCTCAGAATTTCAGTGTTTTGCATTTTGCTTTTTAAACAGATGTTCCAGTGTGGTTTGAAGTTGTTGGTTTACACTGTGTATGTAACACTAGAAGCTGTTTTGAATAACATGGGTGCTCATCTCATCTCATCTCCTACCCCCCATGGGGGTGGGCGGTGGGCCTCCTGACTAATGTCAATCGACCCAGCTCATGCTAACCACTTTGGAAAAAGGATCATGGTTTCTGCTCTACTTTATAATCAAGGCAAGTGTTTATTAACATCCTGTTTTGGAATGTCGGCTGTAAGGTAGCAGCCATTTTCATAATAAAATAAATTCATCTTTCTGCGGTTGCCTTGTGATTACAGAAGGAGTGACACCCAGGGTGGCCAGACGAGGATGGGGAAGCCCAGCCCTGGCATTTCCTCCCCCTGCACTGTCACCTCTGCCGTTGGGCTGGCTTCCTGGTTTGGCTGGGGTTTGGGAGATCACCTTCTTTAAACTAAATGTAAACTAATCATTAAAGCACTTTGCTGCCAAAGAACAAATTAACTTTCTGATCCTGATAACCCTGGGACACGTGGCTTAAAAGGAATCTGTTCTTTCTTTGACTAAAAGGCATACTTTAATCATTACTGACTGACTCCCTGACCTCCCCCCACCCCCAAACCAAATCAGGACAAAGGGCGATGAGGTTTTAAAGCTCACATTAGAAATAGTAGGCTTCAGTTAAACTTCTCAGTTATAAATGACATATGTCATCTCAGGAGGCTTTTTCTCTCACTGCTGTTTTCCCCCAAAGGGTGACTTCCCGTCGTTAGAAAGGGAACCAGCCGTTTTCTGTGCAACACTTTACATTTCCACTGGGGCTCACTTTGACGTTCTAAAATATGCACACACACGCCACATGTGTATAATAATGCTGGCAAATGTACTGCTGTCGAATGTCGATGAACCCTTTAAGAAAGAGGGATAGTATGTAAAAGTCAAGAAAGAAAAACGAGACCAACAGAGATTCTCAGGTGATGGTGGTTTTTAGGCCGTTGGCTGCAACTCGTGACCAGCCTATGTAAAACTGCCGGGCCTCCACTGTCACACTGTTGGGTCGGGCCCGCTGCAGTCACTGTGTCAGTCTGCCTCACTGAGGGTCTCCTTTTCCCTGAGCTTGATAACCCTCCTGATAACATGTCCCCAAACCAGGAAGTCTTGCCGGCTTCTAAGGAGTGTTCTGGTTGTACTTCCACCAAGACAGATGTGGCTGTTCTTCCGGCAGTCCACGGCTGTCCGTGTTCTCCCGACCCTGTCATTCAAACACATCAATTCTGCCCCGTCTGTGGCGCATTGCCCAGTCCTCACAGGCACGTGAGGGGGTTGGAAATACCGTGGCTTCGTGTCAGATGGTCTCCGTTCTAAGAAGAGCACATGACAAGTCCTCCTTTTATTGGGGTTGTAAACCAAAAACCACCATTTTGAGACAGCCTATTAAAGGGGTTTTCTATTCATGCTCTTGAGAAGACACCTGAATCTCCAGACCCATGTCCTCATAAAATACTTAGCCGTCAATTAGCACTTTACAAAGATTTTCATATGCAAGATGAATGCTCCCAGCAGCCCGGGCAGCGGGCGTGACCCTCACGAGTCCCCATGTGGCAGCCAAGGAGTGGCCGCGGTTGGCTTGCTGTCAGCCAGCCGGGGCTCCGCTCAGATCTTTCCTCCTCAGGTCCTACAGCTCAGCTTCCACGGCCGCTGAAATGCCCTTGCCTCACTGGACTGCACTGAACGCTCCTCAAGTATAAACTCAGTTATAAAAATATTGAATAAAACAGTAATTTTAATAAGCTGTTGTTGTGAATTAGATATCCAATTTCTATTACACAATTAAAGCTATTCATCAAACCCTGCCAATAGCTTGCCGTACCCAGCTCCAAGCTTTGACCCCTCCTGTGTCCTACTGTCGTCCTCTTCCCACAAGCCAGCACCTGTCTGCCTGCTAGCCTAGTGCTTCAGCGCCCCTCCCTCACTCTCCCACGCTTGGTAACTAGCAAAGCGTATTCCCTTTGCTTTGACAACCTTTGTCTTGATTGTTTTTCTTCATAACAGTGGACTCACACCATGCTGTCTTTGTGATTGACGAGGTTCACTCAGCGTCCTGTTCCCCAAGACCGTCCGTGCCATGAGATGCTTCCAGGTATCCGCGTCGTGTATGTGCCAACGCTTCTTTATGCATTCTTCTGATGGGCGTTTAGGTTGTCTTCTTAGGTGTAGTGCTTACACCTTGGGCTGCGATCCTCACAGTTGGTGGTTCAAAACTCACCAGCAGCTCTGCTGGAGTAAGACTGGGCTTTCTAACTCCGTAAACAGTGATAGTCTCAAAACCTCCTGGGGGTGTGGATCACTATGAGTCAGCATTGACTCGATGGCAGTGAGTTTGAAAAAAATCTCTCCCCTGAGAAGAAT